TTTTTTTTTTTGGGGGGGGGGTGGTGGTGGTGGTGTGGTGTATGTTACTACCCATTAATTTATGCATGTGCATTTTGCTACACACCAAATTACAACAACTATGCCTCAATCCTGAGGTCCGTCGTATTGCTATCCATTTCACTCCATTTGGATCTGTTATATTCGAATATGCCAAAATTTATTGCCAATATTGTAAAAATTATGTTGCTATTATTGTGTGTGCTTGCCGGCAACATCCAGTGCACCAAAAGGATAACTGCTCAAATCTTCGTTGTCAGACCCAACCAACATCATGCATTCTTTCCATATTGTTAAATGAGAGAGAGAATGAAAATAGATGCATTCTGATCTTTAGTTATTTAGCAGCAAGGATGTTATCTTATTCACTTTTAAGAGCTTCGCTTCCTTTATAGGCTGCGGGTAAGGGTTGGCGGCCACGCGAGTTTCTGGGTCACCAAAAAAAGTATCAGTAGTCCAATTGACGATAAGTTTAACATCAAATAATTAACATCTCCGTGATGTTTTAGCTCATCAAAGACCAACTTAAGTGAAATCATCTTTGTGGAATATCTTTCTATCAAAATGGCTTCCCAAGCAACTGGCATTTTGGACTATTTCGATACTCGTGGTTTGATCTGGCTTGGTGGATATATTTGTTTGGTCTGTATCGGAACTCACAAAGGCATTTTGAAGTCTTTGGTCTCTTTCACAATTTCGAAATCTAATGCATAGCCTTCTTTTGCTATGGAGACTTGAGATTCTTGAAAATTCATGTCCATGTGCATAAAAGTCGTGGGTGCAGCTGAGTGTGATGTCTTGGACTGTTGATGGCTCTTTTAGCTGTCTCTGACCTTACCTCGTCTAATTGCACTACAAGAAATGAGGGCTTTTGTGCCAACTAAGTCATTACTGAAGCTCAAAACTTGCCTCGAATGACCTTTAGTGGCGACTTTGCAGTCGCTATAGTTGAGTAGCTTTTAGTGGCGACTTGTGTAATAGTGTATATTAGCTGCGACATCAGTTGCCACAAAAAAACATTCCTTTTCAGTGGCAGCCCTAGTCGCCACAAATAAACCTCTGTAGCGGCGATCCTATGTGGTCATGGGTATTTATTGGTTTATTGTAGCATACATTTGGTGGCGCCTGCGGGTTGCCCCAAATACCAATTTCATTTTAATTAATTTATATCAACTGTATGTTCCTATTAGTTTGCCCAACAATATCCCAGCGACCATCACCGATTTGCAGGCATTTCTCAGTAAGTCTTTTATGAACTTTTCATTGATAAAAGTCATGATATAGAGTACACAACACTTCATAGTACAATATCATTATAGAGAAACTTCATAATACATTTTAATTGTATGTACACAAAAAGAGAACCACAAAGCTTTCGAGGATCTTATAGAATTAGACTTAGCCTCTTTCTTCGTATTATGGTCAAATTGATCTGGGGAATTTAGTACTTAGAAATTGTATCTTCATTTTTTCACTTTACTATAACTATAAGTGCCCTTTTGAATATTCTTATTTATGAGAGAGTTCACATGATTGCATTGATCAATGCTGTTGTGATATGTGTTATTCTTTGTTGTGTTAAGAAATGAATTAGAAAATCACTTTTAGCTGCAGTTTTGATGTTGCTCAGGTAGAAACATTACAAGTCTCCCATGAATAACAATTTTTAGGAACACTGTCTCCTCATAAATTAAAGGGGAGCCTTGGAGCAACGGTGAAGTTGCCTCTGTGTGACCTGTACGTCACGGGTTCGAGCGTGGAAGAAGCCACTAATGCTTGCATCAGGGTAGACTGTCTACATCACACCCCTTGGGATACGGCTCTTCACCGGATCCTACGTGAATGCGGGATACTTTGTGCATCGGGCTGCCTTTTCTTTTCTTTTTCTTTTTTTTTTTTAAAAAGCTCTTTGCTCATAACAAAGTGGATTGCTCTGATGGTAAGCATCCTCCACTGCCAACCAAAAGGTTGTGAGTTCGAGTCACCCCAAGAGCAAGGTGGGGAGTTCTTGGAGGGAAGGATGTTGAGGGTCTATTGGAAACAGCCTCTCTAACCCAGGGTTGAGGTAAGGTCTGCGTACACACTACCCTCCCCAGACCCCACTAGTGAGATTACACTGGGTTGTTGTTGTTGTCTTTCCTCATAACATTTCCCTCTCTTTGCTATAAATGTGTATTTCTATCTGTCTTTTGTCAAAAATTTCTCATTTTATTATGAGTTTGAGCTTGTCCTTGACGGGCAATTTTTTTTTTCATTTTCATCATGATTATACCCTCCTAGAACCAAATGAAAGATCTCCACTTTTTTTTCCTTCTTGATGATGGCAAGGATCTTTTGGTACTGAAGAAAAAAAACAATTCATTCAAGAGTAGAACTAAGAGAATGTGTAGCTTTTCTTTTCCCATCTCATTTTTTCTTTTCTACCAGGAAATGATTACTCATTCAGATTCTCACGAAAACTGTTTTCTAACCTAGGGAATCTGATGTTATAAATTACTCAAAGAGTACATGATTCATTGCAAGAGCTTCTTGCATTAGCGAAAAGATTCCAGCTTAACTGGAAACAAGGACCAAACGAAGGGACTAGGTCGCCCCAAATGCCTATCTTGGTGACTTTCGGCAGGTCACCACGAAAACTTTCCATGCCGAATATTTCAAAATATTTCGTTTTCAGGGGACAAAAATTTAGCCTATAGTCTCGATGACATGTGACTACTTTTCAGGTCTAAACTCTTTACTTTTCATGCAACTACATGTCACGAAAAACCCTTGATTTCGTGGCGACTTCGTGGGTAAAGTCTGTTTTCGCGTAGTATAGTTAGGTTCCTTTGGAAAATTCTTTAGTAGGACAGAAGTTTTGTTTCACATCAAAATAATGTTATACCTAAAACATTCAACTCCCTTGTCGTTGCAACTTGTCTACTCGATCACAAGGTCTGCATTTTCTGGTCAAGCTTTCAAGGTGTTTGCTTTGTGCAGTTTGGAACTTCCAAATTGTTTTATATACAGAAAGATGAGAAAATTGATGCTTTAAATTTATTTTGGGTCTGCCCTGCTCTGCTTTTCTTTGTTGTAATTATCATTTTATTTTTGGCAGGTGGTGAGCGGCCTCCGGATTCCAATGTTGATGTGAAAGCTATGCAGTGACCTAGTCCTCTCTTTAAACTCTTATCTACCATCTTAATTATTATTGAGAATGTAGTGTCATTTAGTTGTGTTATTACTAAGACATGAAAAAAAAAAAGTGTTGTGATTTGTCATCTACGCTCCTAGTTATGTCTTTAAGAACGTAGGGTTATCTGTGTTTTATTACTAAGACAAGGAAAAATGTGTTCTGATATGATTCTGGTTATGTTTGACGATGAAGCTTTTATTAGAGTAACTTGGTGTTGAGAAATCCTCTGTAGATGGTTGGTTGTTTCGCTTTGATCTATGGTAGTGCACTATTTTGGTTAATTTTGGGTTCTCTAAAGTTGGCCTATACTATACTGCTCCAAGTTGTTTATTAGACACATATTGAGTGAGGTTGGGGTATCTAAAGGTACATGACTCAGTTGAAGTAGCTAAATGAAAATAGTGGCCTACTTCAGGGAGATGTCTATACTTTGCCTTAAATTTTATTCTAATCACGAGTACGTGGATGGTGTGATAAAATAGCTACTGTTGAGTGTAGTCTATATAATCATTGGAACACCTCAACTGTTAAAATGAGATATTTACTCTGTTTAAGCCGAAAATTCAAAAAATAACTAATGATACTGAATCTTTTGTGTGTAAATAAATGTTACTGATCGCGGACTTTTAATGATTTTGTTTTGTTAAATGTAGCTATCCCTAATCTACAAAACTGAGGAGAGTGATCTTAGTGCAATTGAGACGTCTTTTCTGAAATGACCATGAACTAAAAGAAACATGGAAGTTTTCACATGAAACATAACTTATAGCAGTGAATGCCGAAAGGAGGGGAAAGAAAAAGGCTCGCTAGAATATTCATAGGGTTATAACGCAGATAGACTGGCTAAATACTAAATAGTAGCCTTTTTAACGTTGGTACACGATAGGTTTTTTTTTTTTTTTTTTTTTTTTTTTTGGATTTCTCGCCCGGTGTTCTTTATTCTCATTGGGGCTTAATTAAATTTGGATTCATGCCGAAAAATTGTATATTGGGATAAAGTGCTTCCTAATAAAAAAAATTTATATCTAGGTGTTCTGTATCCGCATTGCCGAGAGTTTATTGAAAATAATCTCTCTATCTTCACTAGGCAGGGGTAAGGCTTGCGTACACACTACCATTCTCAGACCCCACTTATGGGAATACAATGGGATTGTTGTTGTTGTTGTTGTTGTTGTTATTGTTCTGTATCTGAATTGAAGCCTAACTAAATTTGGATTTGTGCCGAAAAATTGCATATTGGGGGTAAAGCAACCTTAAACTTATGGCTTGAAGCTGAGACATCTGGTTAAGGATGAAGGGGTATACATATACTATTGTAAAAGCAGAAAGCTCCATAAATATTTTTGCTTTGAATAATCTTTAGGATTTTGGAGTTTATTATGAATTTTTCACGTTGGTTTTTCTAAACTTATGACCCTTCAAATAAAAAATGACCAGAAGTTTACTTTTGATGTTTCGTTGTATGTGTTAGTTTTTCTAAAAGGAAACTGAAAAAAGTCGAATAAATCTATATGAATAAAATATATTATATGTATTAAATTTAAAAATGACAAAGCATTAATAATTTTGACATTGAACCTTGGGATGGATTCTCTACTACTATCGAACTCTATGTGTCTAGTTTCCAACTCTTCAAACCGTTCGGCATTTGGACACTCCTACACGAAGTTATGACCAAATTACCAAAGTCTGGAAAAAATGCAATTCTGCGACCAATTATGCGATTGCAAAACTGCTTCTATGGCCGCAAAACTGGTCGCAGAATGGACCAGAAGAGCCCAGTTCTGGGAACCAATTTTGCGATCAGTTTTTCGGCCCGCATTCCCATTCTGTGGTCCATTATGCGATCGCAGACCTGCTTTCGGAGGGTTAATTTTTTTATTTTCATAACTCGACCCCATTTTGATAAATAGGCTTTGGGCTTATTTTGGGATATTTTTCTGAGGGTTTTAGAGAGAGGTGAGAGAATTTTAGAGAGAGGATGAGGGAATCTAACATTCTAATCATCCAATCTTCAAGAATCAAGGAAGCTATCACAAGATCTTCATCAAAGAGGTAAGATTCAACTCCTAGTCTTCAATTTCGAGTTTGGGGTAAATGATTGGTGATTGGGAGTATGATTCTTGGGTGTAAGAGTATTATTTATATATTCTTGTAACAATAAGGTTTGTGGGAAGATTGTTGAGATCAAATAAGTAAATATTGGGTTGTGGAATGAAGGAAAATCTTGTAGAAGAACCTTGTAACCAAATTTGCACACCTAGTGTTTGATAAAATGCTCAAATGAGCTAGAACCATGAAAATCTTCCTAATTATGGTTCACTTTTGTTATGCTTCTAAATAGATTGAAATTGCTAGAATTTTTCGGAACCTCATAGAAATGTAAGGAAGGCTCAAGAAAGATTGGAGCCGTCCGGAGGTCAATTCAAGCAAGAAGGCGATTTTGGAATATTGGCCTAACTTTTGTCACGACCCAATTTTTCCTCTGTCTGGGTATCGTGATGGTACCTAGTCTTAGAGACTAGGTAAGCCTAACAATAATTAAAACAATATTATTTAAATAGAATCTCTTAAAACTCCCAAAACTGGTAGTACAAGTCATAAGCTCGGCAGAGTGTTTGCTAGAAAACTTCTAAATACAACTGTCTAGAAATAAGAATAAACAGTGCAAAATGAAAAGTTGAAGGTGACTCCGAAGCTTGCGAACGCAACAGTGGGTTTACCTTGAGTCTCCAAAGTAACAGTCCACACAGATAGTTAACGAACAAGTACCTGGATCTGCACAAAAGAAATGAGCAGAAGAGTAGCATGAGCACACCACAACGGTGCCCAGTAAGTATCAAGACTAACCTCGGTGAAGTAGTGACTAGGACTAGTCAAGACACCCACTTGTCTAACAAACTGAACAAGTATAAGTATAGGGATGACAGAACATGACATCTATCTAAGGACCCCGCAATATGGCTAACAACATAGCAACTGCAATAAGGAAGGAAAAACATCAAGTAACAGCGGAACACCAGAATAAGACACAGAAGAATGAACGAAAACATAACCCAATCCAAAAATCACAATACAGTAAAGGCAAGTAGTAACTCAGCAGCTGCAATAGTTTTCACATCAGGTCTCAGCCAACAACCCCAATAAATTAGTCAAATCCTTCAAGTGTAAACTTTCACCCGTAAGTTTTAAAAAAAAAAATTGAAGTCTTTAGAATATAATACTTTCCAATAAAAAATTANTTCCAATAAGAAATTATTTTTTTGAAATATACTTCCTTCAAATAAATATCTTTCAAACATAATTCTTTCAAGATAAAACATTTCAAATATAAACTTTTCAAATAATTAGCCTTCAAACATAGTTCTTTCAAGATAAAACCTTTCAAATATAAACTCTTCAAATAATTAGCCTTGAAACATAGTTCTTTCAAGATAAATACTTTTCAAATATTATCCTTCGAGCATAAGTCACTATGTGACACCTAAGCATGAAAGATTAGCAGCTCTGAACACAGATATAACCACAAGGGAAATCTACCGGAATACCTGTTACACCCTATATTTTCGTATATTTTCGTATATTTTCGTGAAGGTGATTACCGTTCATCAAATTAGTTCCCATTTTTGTTAATTGCTTAGACAATTCTTTTACTATCACATCATTTGAGCTTGCATTATCAACTGTGACAATGAAGATCTTATTTATCCCCCACTCACGTAAGCACCTACCAATACCATTTTCCATATCTTCACCTTTATGACTAACAATAGGACAAAAATTAATTATTCTCTTATGCATATTCCATTCACTATCAATCCAATGGGAAGTGATACACATGTAATTGATTCTTTGTATAGAAGTCGAAGTATCAGTGGTAATACATACTCTTTGTTTCGTTTCTATAAAAGACCTCTTCAACTTTTGCTTTTCTTCATTAAAAAGATCAAAACAATCTCTAGTTATAGTACTATGGGAAGGGATCCGAAAATAAGGTTACGCCACTTTCATAAAGTCTCTAAAATCTTATTTCTCAACAAAGCTAAAAGGAAGTTCATCAACTATTACCATACGACATAACGCCTTCCTACACTCTTCTTGATCAAATTTCCAAGTAACAACAGCTAC